ATTCTTTGGTGGGGGGCAGTGAGGGACCTGGATAAAGGCTAGGGGGGCGCTGGCCCAAAAAAGGTTGAGAAACACTGCGATAGAGGGTGCAGATCTGCCCCCTCCTCCTCACCATGGGAACAGTGTCTGAACAACATGGAGGCAGACAAACTGAGAATCCTGTCATTATTAGATCGAAGTCAGCCAGACTAATTTATTTTGCTAAATTATTATATTTAGCTAAACATTATTGTTGAGGGGCACAAGCAGGCCTCCTGATGCACAAATAAAAAAAAGTTGAAAATTGAAAAAAAAAAATAAATAAATAAATAACTGCTCAAAAAGGGCACTAAGGGCAAGAAGGATAAAAGGGGCTGGAGCTCCAGCCACCTCTGTCAGGGCCGGGCAAGACATAAGCAAACTAAGCAGCCGCTTAGGGCCCCAGGACCAACCTCAGTGGAGCTGATTTTTTTTATAGCAATTTCTATGTCATTATAATAACACAAACACACAATTTCATCATTTTACAATAAAATATATTTGATAATGTATGTAGAAATTATTATTTTATGGACATAAAGAAAAAAGAAATTGCTCTTGGGGGCCCCCTGGTGGCTGCAGTAGGTCATGCACTCTTTGCCGGTAATATGAGCTGCCGTGCAGCGTGCAGAGCGTATCCAAAAGTCCAAAGCTCAGGTAGAAGATAAGATAGCAAAACAATTTCTCAAAAAAGGATTTATCCTACAGGGAGAATGAAGAGGAAGAACAGAAAAAAAAACCAAGATAAAGGTTTGTTTTAATATGTCTTCATAATGTAATGTTTATAAAAAAGATTTGTGAAGTGGCTAATAGAAAATTAGCGTTATAGCAACCTTGAATGGTTCAGTTCAACAGCCAAACATTTCTGCTACCGTCCTTGTGCGAAGCTAAGTTTTGACTTGAAATTAGTTGATTCTCCTGCTTGGCTCTGTATATTTCTGAGTTTTTTGGCTACAGAACAGTGTGTTTGATAACGTTTGATAAGAATAAATAAAACTTCTCAATGTTTGATATTGTCTAGCAAAATGTTTTACATCAGGCTACATGGCTGCTATATTAATATATCGATGAGCTGCTCTAAGCTGTGGTTGGTGATATGTTGTTTGCTGCTGATCATTTATGTGACTAAAACAATATTTTTACATCAATTTCTTAGATATGTGAAACTTCTGTTAAAATCATTTCAATGCTCAGAATCACATTCTTAGGGGAGAAAAACTCACCTGATGTAAATTAAATTTTTAGCTATTGGCGTTACGCTTAAGAGAAATTAATTTAATCAAAATATGTCATATGTGTGTATGCAATCCATCTCAAGTTGGGATGCACCGATTGCAGTTTTCTGGCCGATCCCTGGTTACCGATATTTAAAAAGCCTGACCTGGCGATTTTGATTTTGGCCGATACCATTTTTTTTTGTCTAAAATGTCGCTAAATATAGCAAAAAAGTTGGCAACAGAGGGGTGAATATTGTTAACTATAAGCATACAGATATGACCTTGTGGGCCAGTCTGTCAATCATTTAGTCATAACTCTCACTGCAGAGCAGAAGAGAACACAGGCTGATATTTAAACCTTTGCTGATGAAAATAAGATCAGGGGATAAGATCGGCTTCACATGGAAGTATCAGCTGATCATGATCCCCCAAAATTAAGGAAATCGGGTCTGTGTATTTTCTGGCAGTTTGTTTTTTTCTTTGAAATGAAAAATGAAAAAAAAAAACAAAAAAACGAAAGACTCGTTTTTTCATTTTTCAAACCAAAATCAGAAATCAGATTTATGGCTCGGAATCCGATTTCCCATTTAGTACACAAAATGAAAATGGAAAAAGCGGATAACGAGCGGTCAATTTCGATTTTCATGATTTCATTGTTGACAAGCGGTCTGTCTCGGAAGTTCTCTCTGTCCGGCTTACACAGGGACCGTATCACACACATTATGCAGGCTGCAGGGAGACAAGCTTGTTCATTTCAGGCTATATACTGTAGTATTTTCTGCCAGCTGCAAGGCAGTTTAAGTAATGCTCCAGTGAGAAACAAATAATACCAGACATCTGGTCACCGAGAAAAATGGTTAGCCTGAGTTTTTAGTTTTTTTTTTTTTTATTTTGAAAGGCCAGAGCACCGGGGAGTGGCTTTCCAAACCATCCTGCAGCCATACCCATCTCTGGACCAGCAAGATGGCCACCATTGCACTGCACCACCAGCAGTGAAAAATGGAGGTAAGTTTGTCACAAAAAGTTAAGATGTTTTTAGGGTAGAAAGTAATCCTCATAGCTTCATTTACGCACTTAGTTCATGCACTTTCTTTGAAATATACTCCTGAGTTTTCAGAGCAGCGTAGCTCCGCTAACTGGGCCAGGCGGCTCCAGGCTCAGCGGCCGGGTGGAGTGTGTTTACCCCGCTAACTGCGGCCTGATCTCGGCAAGTCACCTTGTCGTATTCTGCTGCTTGATATCTGATCGTAGCGTTTCAAAGTGTGACATGAAGAGTTTAATGAATTTGCATGGATACTGTTTGATACGTGTGACAAAATATAGTATTCCTCTCTGGAGAGTTTGACATTTCTGAAGATGTTAGTATCTTATAAACATTGACACAGTGTTCTCTTCCAATACCAGTTAATAATGTCCCCTTCCTCTGATTTTTTTGTAGTTTATAAATTCATATTTCATTTTAGTTTTTTTTATTACTTTTAAACTTTTGAGTACTTATTACTTGTACAAATTTAGAGTGTACTTAGAAAGTCCAGAGAATACTTGCTTACAGTTATCTAGCAACCTTCAACAGGAGCACCAACTTTGCATACTTTAGATCAACATTAGATTATTTTCCTTCTTTTGCTCTTTCCTTTGGTTTATTATTGTTAGTATTTCCTTTTAATTCCCATAAAGCACTTTGTATTTCCTTGTTGCTGAAAATGAAATGAAATGAAATGAAATTTTATTCGAACATGATACAAATATAAAAATAAAATAGTGCACAGTAACAAGAAGTGCATAAAAAAGAAGAGAAAATACAGATTTTTTGTTTGCGTGAAATATATTCTTCCCTCTGGTTGGCTTCTTGCGTGCAGTGTGAACTATTTTTAATACTTATTTTTTATTGTTTCATACAGGCAGCTCTTAGGAGGAGAGCCTCACCTCCAGGTTTGGATGCAGCTTCCCAGTGATCCTCTTCCTCCTCCTGACATCATCTTCTTCACCGTCTCATCTTTTATATGCATAAATTATAGGAATATTTTTTCATGATTCCCCAAACACAGGCTGAATATCTGCTTGTATGTTATTGTAATAAATACATTTTTATGAAAACATTTTGTCTCTGTTTATTTTGTAAGATGTGAGTTTAAAGCTCTGGCTACATATAGATTGATACAAATTAAATATGAAATAATTCTTTTAATGTTTCTTGCTTATAAATTCAGTGCTGAGAAATAATGGAAAGAATCAACTAAAAAGTTGTTCATTATGTTTAGTCAGTTGAGACCAATAATTTATAAGTAATCTCATGAAGGGGACAAAAGTTTTCATTTCTAATTGGACAGTCATACTTCACTTATAAAAATGTGAAAAAATATTGTGTGGTGTTAAACCACAGAACAGGATGAGGGGCCCATAGCATTTTTCTAACACCAATTGATGTGCAAGATTTTATTTTAGATTAAAGTTAGAATGATGACCTGTTTTCTTTCCCAAACCCTCTTCCATAGCAAATATTTATTTAGTTAAGCTTTTAATAATCTAATTGGCACATTATTTCAAACTTTTCCTACCTGGTAGAAATAGATACATTTTTATATTTTGGATAACCTTTTCTGCGTGCTTGTTCATAACATACCGGATTATAATTGGTATGCTAATGCTAT